CAGGGTGGCTAACTTTTCCGATGCGGTTCAGCTACTTCACGGAATAAACAAACATAGGACTCGTAATATCCTTATAATGGCACCAGGGGGATTATTGCTACTATTCCCGCGTTTTTAGTGTGGGAACATTTCCCGGTGGTTATTAATTTTTATTTGGATTTTTCTTGGCCACCTGAAGCGACTAATTGGCACGCCCCCGTCGCCTTTGCTCCCTAATTTGGCAAGTCCTTGCTGTCCGTCCATTCGGAGTGTTAGTTAGTCCTGCATGCAATTGCCTGGCGCCACGTGTCAGCGGGGCATGGGGCACCCAAAGGGGGGTTATTTGTGTGGGGGTGCTGTCTGGCGTTGCATGTGTCGCATATATGGAAATTTCCTAATGACAGGGGTGTACGAGCCACTCGGCACCCAAGTTCATTGTAGTCGAGTTCAGTGCTCAAGCAATGATTGAGTTTTATTGTTGATTGTTGAGCAGAGATTGCAGGTCAGCCATACAGGGTTAGTTGTCATTGGGCACTGAGTTCCATAAAGGGTGTCCTTGAAAGATGTCCAAAGGGTGTCCCTAAAACAGCCACGCAGAAATGAGCTATCTTGGACGCTTATTATTGCCCTGCATTTGAGCTCATATACATTTTAAAGTTAATTTTTAGCAGAATTTCCATAAAATATTACTCTTTATATTATTGGTAAGTAAATCGATATGATTCTTTAACAATAAGATAAATAATTTCTTTACATTCTGGGTACTTTCGTCTTTGATATTTTTTTACACTGCGACTTTTATGTATTTTTCATACGGGATTATGAAGTTCAAACCATTTATAAACCATTTAAGTAAGCAGCATCAGCTGTCTTCTGGCACTCGGCTCTTGTTATGGCCTAACACACATGTTCTTCTCCAAGGACTGACCGTGACATAAATATTTCTTAAGATCAATTCACATGTGTTCGATCGAATCCACACCCTCCACAAATTGTAACGTATTTTACCGCCAGCGATACGAATATAATTCCCAAAGAGGGGAGATTGTTGCCTTTTCGGCCACTTGCAGAGGCACAAAATAATTACAAGCGGCAACCGGCAGACGACAAACGGCCAACTGCATCCAGGTAGAACTCGGCCCCTTCCCCAGGGGTTGTATCTTATACCTCTACCTCTAGCTTTACCTCTACCTTTACCGCGTGCCATCATCGCCGGCTGCTGTTGCAGGTGCACAAGTCAGCGAAGCGAGGCCCTCGCGATCCCAGTTGAACTCAAACTGGTGCACTGGAAAACATAACCCTGACACCAATTACAATACATATACCATATAGAAACACGATCTAATGATTATTTGAGCATTTACCACGAAGGGATAGTACAAAACTTGCTGTAAAAGAAATATGTAAAATGTATTTAAATATATCGCAAATTATGTTTAAAAGGGCATTCTTTTGTTCCCGGTGTACAGACAGTTGCATTTCGAACAGGGCGGAAGGAAGCTGTTGCGCGGGTCAAAACACTTGTCCTCGTTCGCCGGTTCCGAGTTTGAACCTTTCGCCGAACCTGTTTGCTGGTTTATCTGGCAAGGGCGGCTCTGAGATCTGCCAACCAGTCGGAGCCGATAAGTACACTGGGAGAAATATCAAGGGACAAATAGAAGAAAATGTAGGGACATGAGCTTTTTCATTTATCTTTGGTATAGTTGAAGTAGGGCTTAAAATATAAACCTACATCATTTTACGAATTCGACAATCAAGAGATTTAAGTATATGTGTATAAATTAACTTTTAAGCTGGAGCGCAGCATAGACACAACATATCATTATGCAATAAATATTTGATTTTTTAATTTCTGGCCTCGCTCACCCCCGATTTCTCCCAGTGCAGGGACAGTTGCAGCCCCAGCGCCTTCAGTTGTCATTCGATGGGCAGGCAGGTTGTTCCTACGTGTGGTGTCGATTTTAGGGGTAGTCCCGTCTTAACGGCAACAGAATGTGTCTGTGTCTGTGGCTCGTGTGCATTGACCTGAAAACTCAGCGCGCCTTTTTTGATATCTATGCCCTGTTGTTGTTTGAGATACATCCACTCTACGGGGGGAAGATGTGGCAATCTAGAATCATTTTTGTACGATTATAGATGCCACTTGGCGAATGGTTGATGAATCACTTGCCTTGGGAACAGATTCCATTAAACATAAGCATCTGAGAATAAGCTATAACAACTATCTAAATAAGCCAGACACAGATACAAATTCATTTTTTTCCTTTTAATCGCAAGTTTACCTAGGCTCTTTTATTTCTAATATTTATATAGTTTTTGCCCCAAATACTTGTTTCCCAGCCCAATAAGAAGTCCGACTATTTCAATTTTATTTAATAATTCTTTTCGTTTTCTGATTGAGACGATCTTTATTAATGCGAAGCTGCTTTGTTTATTAGTTTTCTGGTTTCTTTGTTTGTTGTTTTCCAATTTATCGTTTTTTCAAATATTTACTCGTTTATAACTAATTTCTGACTTGTGTTATGTACTTGGTGTATTTACATGATGTTCGATTTGGGAATGCAATGTTAATAAATCGGTTTTATTATGCTCAATATTGTGCATTATAAAAAAGTTGTTAATATAATTATTACGTTTGGTAGCATTGTGGGGACTTCGGTTTCTTGTATTGATCTTTAAGAAATCTACTCGCATGTGAAATAAATTGGACAACAGAAATTGTCGCAATGGTTTAACTTTTTTATTTTCTTTTCTGAACGTATTTCAGATATATAACTTTTTAACAAATCTCTAGCAAACAGTTCAGTTGGACTGTCATGGATTTAGCAAATATTGTTTATAAAGAAATTAGTTTAAAGTTATTCGATAAAATGATTTTACTGCTAACTGCCTTGATATATTAGTATTTACAATTCGTTCATAGCATTTACAAATTATAAAGCTTTGGAATAATGACAATTTAAAAAGTGTTTTAATCTGCATTTTGCAGCCATCGTATATGATCAAATGGAACAGATTTTGTAATCATTTGAAATCTTTTTTATATAATTTTCTTGTTTGCTAAATTCATTAATGCTTTTTTAAGTGTGAACTTTTATGGCTTTGCTTTAGATATATTTAAATACATTTTTATAATGTTACTGGTCTTTGGATTAGCTTCTACTTCATTTATCAGCAGTTTTGCTTGTGAGGAGTTAAACACAATCCCAAACAGAAATCCTTATAGGGCACATACGTCGGGTTCCCATCCATAATAACAAAAACTGTGTTTCGCCTGAAACCATCTAAGCAATCAATAAGTTTTAATTCTCTCAAAGAAGGCACCTTCACAAATCGATTGCTAACTAACATTTAACAGAGTTACATGCTTAAGCTGTTCAAAGAACGAATCGAATATAGTTTCCTAGGGTCCATCTTTATCGTATTTTATTTGTACATTCCTTATATTGGCCACATATTCAGCAAATTCCACTCACACTTCTTACCCTTGACTATATTTCCGCAACAAAAACATTTGTCATTGGACGCGATGCATTTGGAGTTCAGTTTTTGAGTTCTATATAAGCAGCTAATTTTACAAAAGGATTCTGAATTATTCGGCATTGCTTGTTTGAAAGATGGCATAGCACTTCCTTTACTCAGATTAACTTGTTCGTTTTTGTAAATTGCAAAAAGATTGTCCTTGTCTTTGGGTTTTCTTTTTCGTAGTTGTTATTTAGTTATATATATTTTTTGCTAAATCAGAATTAACTGCGAAGAGCTTGCAAAATGGCGAAAAGAAAATTCCCAAAAATCTACAAATCTCTAAAGTCATAAATGTATTTATTTGCAAAAAGCATTCCGTGTATACGCATATTGTGTTCTATATAGGTAATATTATTTAAACAATTGGTAACCGTGGCCCTCAATAACCTGCTCTCAATTAATTTCAATAAAATTTCGTATGCAAAGGTTCTTTTAAATTTAGGATTTTTGTTTGTGTTCTTTATCACAAGGTTTAAATTTGGTTTAGGTTTAAAGTTGTTTGAATTAGGTCGTGCTTTTTTAGGTTTTGTATTTCTTCTTTAGTTGCCAGCATTTGTGGACATACATTTTATCTAAAATACTTGGGTGTTAGTTTTGTGAGTTTATAGTTGGGTTGGCATATGCTTCATAGCTACTTATGAGAGTTTTATAAAGATTCGTGTCACATATTTTTGTAAATATTTTAGTTAGCTTCGTTTATGTTTTTCTATGAGCTTTGATATGTATTTTAATAAAAGTTTTTAGGCAATTCCTGCTGCTACTTAAAAGGCGTTGATGGATCAATTGAAATGAATCTCCGAAGGTGTGAACTATTTTTCTTTGTTACCTCCTATAAAATGAATTAACTTTATGCGATTTTATTTCACCCGAATCTAAGTTTAGGAAAGCTTAACTGTGGTCTACTTTGCGGCGGTTTCATTTGCGTGAGTCAATGCGATGCGGTAAAACCAAGGCTGGTTTATATATCGAACATTTATTGAAAAAATAAACAGAATTTAAATAAACATTTAAATCAATGTTATATACAGTAAAGCGTAACGTAAAAATCTGTGTGATGAGTAACAATTTGTGTGTTCTGTTTTATAACCTTTGACATATGCGGAGGCATTTCAACTCATCGAATTGAATTGAACAAAACTGGGTTTTAATTTCATAATATTCGACTAGAGCTGCTTGTAAATATATAACATCTATGTATATGTGTATAAACAGGTTGCATCATTTCGACTACTCAAATAGTTAAGCCTTAAAGCTGTTTGGTTTGCGTTTCATACGTTGTATTTCATAGTTATAGGCTAGGTCTTTTTATCTTCTTGGATCGTGTTTTTGGTACTTTCAGCATTAATTTGTTTGCTTATTAATTGTTTAAATATTATATATTACAATTGCTAGACAGTGTTTCTTTGTTTCTTTGGTTGGTATAATTAACTAATGCATTTTCGAGCATATGCAAAAATTGCAAATTTAATTTAAAGTTTTTTTTTGCTTTTTGGTTGGTTTCTACTATTTTTAAAAAAGGCAGTCGAAAATGTTTCTTTCGTATGTTTGCTCATTTGCATAAATTTAACTTTCGTAAATATTAATTATTAACAACTTATTCATTTTCTTTTTCCCCATTAACAACTCAGTTTAAACTAATGTTTTCATTTTGACGTTTTATCACTGGTTTTGTCATGTTGTTGCCATTTAAAAAATCGTTAATGAATAATTAGATGTACTTTGTGTTTCCCTTTGTTCCATTAAAATTAGATGACTTCGCAAGGCCCTAGAATTTAGCAAACGAGTTTTCATGTCGGTCTGCATGTTTCTCTACAAATTACTATACTTTACGGGTTTTCTGGCTTTGCTTCGGCAATTTAGCGTGTTCAAGTATCTATAATGTACGAGTATGTTTATGCTGTACTGTAGTGTTTTGCTTAGTTTTACGAAAATCCTTTATAGTGTACAAAGAAGAATATCAGAAAAATGGCATAAGCAGTTGGAAATGTAATTCTAGCGATGACATCGATCGTCTTGGCCACTCGAATCGGATGCGGTGGCTCTTTTTTCCGCACTTGAACGAAGCAGGTCTGCGAACAAAATGGTACATTGTGAATATGTGGCTTAGGTTCAGACTCAGATTATTTGGCATGTACTCTCACCTCTGTGGCACAGCCATTATTCGCCGAATGGGTGCACGGACTGTTGCTGCCGCCGCAGGTGGTGCATGCCACGATTTCGTTCGGTGCCCCGGCGTTTTGACGCTTTTCGCCCTGATAGACGGCGGTAAATTTAAAAAACTTATTTGTTAATTTTGATTGGACCATGGTGGTGGTTGGCAAACAAGTTGGCAATTTTACAAGTCAAATACAAGTGGTGAAAAGGAGTTATTTACACATACATACACACACATACGCATACGCATACGAAAAAAAACGTAAAATTGGTTTGGCGGTTGCAGTTTGGTTATATTTTGGTTGTTTGCATTTCGTTTTTGCAAAAACCCAGCAAAAAGCGTATAAGTATGTTAAAAATATATGAAAAAAGGTAGAAAAATATTTGATTTATTAAAGTTATTTGACATGTGGCACAAAAATTGAAATTTAACGCTACGAAATTTATCACAAAAGCGCTTGGAATGCTTTCCCAAATTTAACTACAGAAATATTTAAGAAAATAATTATTATTAGTAGGTGGGCATACTTACGGGCTTTTTTAATTTATTTATTATTTGGATTGTATTTATGTCAGAGGCAGCAGTTGAAAAAGCAAAAAAGAGCAAATTCAATTTTAATACACGGTTTTCTATTTATAACCACAGCGCATTTAATTATATTTATTGATTTTTTCAAAATGATCTAATTGTATTTTGCACGTACAGTATTCGATTCATTTGTTATTTCTCTTTAAGCTATTTAGCAGTTTGAATAAATTTTTGTATATTGTTTGATATGAGAATGGCATGAGAATTTTGCTGTGTTTTCATTTTGGGTGGGTGAAATTAAAAGAGGCTTAAATGCGATGAAAATTCAAATTCAAATTTAAATAACACTTAATGTCATATTGAACGCTAAAAAAATGTGTCAAGTTTCCGGTTTAATGTAATGTTGCTTTTATTGTTGGTTCATTGTGATGTGGACTGCTTATTTGGATCGAATGTATTTAATGATTGATTATGAACACATACGAGGTTAGTTTAGGTAAAATTCTGTTGAGTTTGGTGCATTTTATTGTGTGGGTTAAAGCGTGCTCTATTTTGGATATTACAATAGCAGAGGTGTTGGGCTTAAAACTGCTACTTTATATACAGGCTGTTAACTATACAAGCACACAGAGAAAAATCAACTAGTGTTGTGTAACAGCTATATTTTACTGCATATATACTTGTATTTATAGTTATATTTATATGTCCGCTCACAAGTATGCTACAATTCATTGCAGCTACAGTGGCACGTACTGCAAGTTGCATCTAAAAACGCCAGCGAACCAGGGGAAAATTCAGGGGATTTTCCAGCGGATTGGGGGCGGCTGGCTGTTGGGTGGCTGTTTGGCTGACTTGACTTTGTTTGCCAGCAGCTGGCGGCCATTTGCCGAGTGCACAAATGCCGGCAAAGGTGGCCGGTGGGGGTTGCGAAAATGGAAAAGTGGGTGGAAATGGGAAAATGGGAAAGTGGGCTGGCAGGAAGCAGTTACTTAGGGAAGATGTATTATGCGGGTGTGTTTAAGCAGCCAGAGAGCCGGATAACGTGGCTGACCTAAATTAAACACGGTGGCTGTGCCAGAGTTTTGCTGCTCGTTAGTTTCTTTAAAATCAACAAGGCGTTTTAATGATCAGTGGATAAAGTGGAGTAGTTTGTTGTTTTTTTTAACGATTTGGGACTATAAAAGATGGCTTAAAATGCATCTAGTTAAGAGTCACACATCACAGGAGCTATTTTCCGAAAAATCTATTCAAAATCTAAAACAATAATGTCGGAAAATGCTTAAACAATAACAGCTCTTGGAAATTTAACGTTAAGTGGTTCCCCAGATGCTTCGCCAGCAATTTAATTTTATTAACAACACTTGAAAAATGTATGACAAGAGAAGATTTATGCACCCAGTGCAATTATCATTGGGGCCAAGTGTGAAGCGAAAGTATCTTTTTCTTCGTGCATTTTTGGGCTCTGCGTACTTTTCGTATTTGCATAAGACTCCCAAGTGAAGGGAAGTGCTGCCAGGCTCGAACTTTTCCGATGGAAAATCCTTCGCAGAAATTTTCGACAATTATGATGCATGTACCGACGAGTTTTATTGCGTTTTCATTTTTGTTTCGCCTCATTTTCTTTCGAACCGGCTCGACCGCATCCTTGGCTGCCATTTGTTTGTTTTCCACTCTCGTGTCGTTGGTTTTTCCGGTGCTCTCGGGCTCATTACGGCATTTTCCACTTTGGGCGCTCATGAATAATTATGTTGTCCTGTTGCGGCCCAGTCAGCCCGCTGTCCACCTGCCTGGGCGCCAATTTAAACGCGTACACCATTTTTAATTTACATGCTAATGGTGGCGAACATTTTCCCAGCCACCTTGTTGTCGACGGTTTTCCGCCTTTCCCGGCTTTTCCAACTCCTTCCTGGGCTGCGTATCCTGGTGTTCTGCTTCTGTCGGAAGTCGTCGTCAGCGTTTCACAATTTCCCATAAAATAGTTTTGCTTTTCGGCGGACGGGTCTTTCATCACGCCCACTTTAGTTGGTTTTATTTGCCTTTGGATTTCTATCTTGATGGCGGCTTCTCCGCTTCCATTCCGATAAGTTTGATTTACTTGGGGACTTTGGGGGGAAGTTTAGTGATTTATGTACTGGAAATCGGTTGCAAATCTAAAGGACAAAAATTCTGTTTCAAGTGTTTGAGCCACCGTGGTATCAAAAAAATACATCTACCGCTTTTGTGCAACAGAATTTTGAATGGGGAATATTCTGGAATTATTTAAATTTTATATTATCTATAGATATCCCATTTATTTAGGATTTCCTCAAAACAAATCTTACAAATTTAGTATACTCGTATCCTATACTTTTACGGTTAGATATCCATACTTATTACATTATATTTACATTAATTAAGAGAATTTCGTAAGCCGGTAAACCTCTAGGCCCTAATGACTAAATCACTTAGGTGAAGGGTAATTAGTTGAGAAAACATCTTCATTGCTTGCATTTGATTTAGTAAAAGACAACCCAGCCTGGCTCTTAGCCCTAATTGCTTAACCTTTCTGCTTCCTTTGGCTGCCAATACCTCATGTCTAATGCAGTTTACTCTTGTTAGTCATTGTTGGTTTTTCATTTAAAGTTCAATCGCAAGTTTGGGGAAAAATCCTACTTTGAGTGTGCGTGTTTGGGTGTGTTTGGGTGCATTTAGTGGGTGTTTTTTTGGGGCAAATGGCAATCAAAATAACCGCAGGCAATAAAGTTTGGCCAAACTTTCCTCTTGCTGACGTTTTTCTTTGGCTCGGCATTTTTTCTGGTTAGTTATTAGTCGGTTGTGCAAGCAACAACAAGAACGAATGTTAAGACTTTTGGTGGATTTTTTCGGTTAGTCTCGGGGCGATTCTGATATTCTGGAATTCTGGAATTCTGGTGCGTCCTTTACTCACTGTAGCTTCCACATTCTCGAATGCATCGCCGTAAACCGAGGCTGGTGAATTGGAGCGCGAGGCCTTCCGGCGCGGAGGTTTCAGCGGCAAGGACAACTGACGTTCTGTCATTTCCATATCCTGGTTGGGCTTGGCTTCCGCCTCCAGATCGGTTTCGGCCTCGATCCTTACAACCAAGGCCGGTGTACTGGTGGCCACCGATCTGCGCAGCTTGGTGGTGGACTCCGGCTCCTCCGGTTGCTCCTCCCTCAGCTCGTCCTTGAACTTTACTTTGGTACTGGTAACGCCGGATGTGGATCCACCGGGCTCTTCGTAGATATGCTCAGTGGGTCGTCCACTGGGATGCGGCGATATGGAAGTGGATGGACTTCTGGCCGCCTTCCGCTTTATCGAACGTGCCCTCAAATTCTGGACAGCAGCTCCAATGATTCCGCCGTGGGCCTCCTGCCAACGCATGCCGCCGCCAAAGAACTCCTCCGGATCGGTGGTCCTTGGGGTTCCAGGCGTGGCCACCGAGGAGGAGGCGGCCGGGGTGCCACTGGACATGGGCGTGGCACCGCCCATCATCGACATAGCCGGCGTGGCAGCGGCGCTTGCCTTTTCGGAGGACAAAAGCGGCATGAAATTCGCGTTCGATTATTACCTACAGAGCAGGTTGGTTGAATGGGGATAGTTTTTGTCTTGGTTTGTTTTTTATTTGTTCTGGATAGGTTCTAGCTATGGTACGGTATCTTTAAAAGTTTCTGATTTCTGGTTTTTGAGCGCGGGAAAGAGAAAGACAATTTTCGGAGAGAGACACACAGGTGGTTTAGTCAGGATAATCGAAGGCCACAAAAGTAATTGTGTTAATTGATGGGCATTATCAATAGAGGTTACTTCGAGTCAAGCAGTTGTGGTGAAATGTTAAGTTAGGTTTCTTCAATACTTCCACTACTTAGTGGTCTCTTTGTTTTGGCTATTTTATTGTTTCAGCTATTAGAACTAAGAAAAAAATCTCTTAAGTTTTGTAAAGCGACCTCTCACACTGAAACTTTGTTTTCTATATAGTTTTTTTTTTGTTTTATTTTTATAACAAATTAAAGTTTTAAAAATATACTATAAACTCGTATATGTGTCATGCACCTGAAATCTTGTTAAAAAGTTTCCCGCCTACGAAAAAACAGATGTAATACATTTATTTCTTATTGGATGTTTGTGGTGTCTCGCATGTGGATTGCATTAGTGTTTTAATATTTATCGAAAAACATTCAAATGCACAAAATGCACTAAAACTATGCGCCTAAACAAAAAGCTTTCAAGCAAACACTGACAACAGAAAATAACCAAAAAACAAAATTGCTTCAGCTACTTCTTTTTAGTACCATAAATAATAGTGGCCAACATTTCCGGCACGATATATAGCTATGTTTTTGTTTTAGTAAACTAAAGAAATATTTATTTTTTTATTGGTACAGGGCGTGTCAGAAAATCAATAGAGAACTTAATTTAAATGTATATTTTTCCAAGGCAAATTTCATATACCAAAAATTAAAATGTAAATCAGGGGCAAATAAGAAAATTGATTTATAGCTCTTTCGATATAATTTTGTCATATATGTAAAAGGAGAAGGAATTTTTGTCCATAAATGGCAATCGATTTTTCGCTTTTTTGTTACAATTTTCTTTCGTAACATTTTTCCCAATTGTAAGTGACCTTAAAGTGTGTTTTATTGCTATAGATATAATTTGTTGTATTTATTTTCATCATGAGTTTCTATTTGTTGTGGTTGTAGTTGTCGTTACTGCTGTTGGTTGTGTGGAAATAGATTCTTCTAAAACAATTAAGCCACGCATATCAAGTATACGCACGGTTGGCTGCTAGGTGTAAAAGTATATTACGAGTTGGTTTATGATTGATTCAAAACGAATTAACGTAATTAAATTATGAAAATAATCGTTGTAATAAATATGGAGTTATATACATTGAAAGCGAGTGCGAATCTACTAGGTAATTATTTAAATTTGAATTATAGTTATTGTTATTTTCATTGGTTTTCCGTTCTGGCTCGAAAATCAAATTAAACACTGTTTTTGTTTTGGGAAACACAAAAACCAAAATCGAAACAAAACTTTTTCAATGCATTTCATCAAAGCGAAATTCGCATGCCATTTTTTCTTAGGTTTACATTTCGCTGTTTTTGGTCAGGAGAGGGGGGGAAAACAGGACTTTCGATGGGTGTACCAGTGTGGGTGTGTGTTTTACTTGGATTGTGTGTGTTTAGTTGGCTTTATTTTTTTGGTTTGCTGCCGTTTGCTGCTAAATGGTTTTGTTAAAGTTTTCTGTTTTCTCAGGGGGCGGGGCGGGGGTGGTGCATGAGTTGTGGTTGATAGCTTACCAAAGGACTTGCAAGAATTACTCCGATCCTGCTTAGTACTGCTGGAAGACGCTGCAAAAATGTACACAAAACAATGTTCATACTCAAAACACACTTTAAGTTTGATTTGGTTGGGCTAAGTTTTGGTTTTCTGGTTTTCTGGTTTTCTGTTTGCTATTGCTTGCTCAGTTCTCACTTAGCTGCTAATTTTGCTAGTAAGTTAAATTTGGCTGGAGGTTATAGTTTCGAATAGTTGCGTATCACTAAAATTGGGAACAATGTTCGATTCGTTTTTACGCTTCGTTTACGCTTACGTCTTTCGACTCTCTTGGTTTAAAATGGGGTAATTTTTGATGCATGGGGCTAAGAAGTGGCATTTATTTAAGTGGCACCATCAGCTTTGTGGTTTCATGAGCTCTTTAGAATGATTTTAGTTTGTAAACTCGTTAACATGCCACTTAAATGAATTCCCGTAAATGGGATTACAAATTCGTAAAACACATCAAACAAAAATGCTTAACGTGCATTGTTAAACGATTTGATCTTAATTCGAAAAGTGCCTACGTAAAAACAAAATGCATATTTTATGGGTTTTATTTTGTATAATCAATTTTAGTTTTTGTTGCTTCAGTTTCGTTAGAAAACAATGAAAACATAAATAACATACCTACCTACGGCATGTAAAACACTTCAATTATTTTATTATTATTCATATTATGGCTGGGTTTTGTTAAGTTATTTTCAAACTAATTGCGATGAATAAAACGCATTGTTTTCCTTACGAACGATTGTATAATACAACACTTAGAAAATAATTGAAACATAACAGAAGATGAATGTTAAAATATCTATCAAAGAGGAAGAATGGTCTTTGGGCATTTCTCGGGGTAAATATCACTTCATTGGGTTCATAAAATGCAAACAAATAATACAACTGAGCATCGGCACAATAAATACACATACATCGACAGTATCTTCATAAGGACAAAAATCAAATTCAAATCAGAAGTGTGTGGACAAAAATCAAAGGTAAATTTGAGTTATTTCGTTATTCTTAGGGCACACAAAGTTACGTTTACTATAGTTTAAAAGGTTGTTATACAAAATGCTAAGTTTCGGGATTAACACAAAGTGAGTTTTTATAGCGAGCATCTGTAGTTATATGTAAACATGGCAATGGTTCTATTAGCTAAGGACCATTAAATAAGACTGGACAGTACACGGATAGGTGATCAAAGTTGGGTGTACGCAGATATAGAGGAAAGAAGAGATATAGACGGATATAGAGCGAGACAGCGAGAAAGAGAGAAAGAGGGGGACGCAACACAATGGAGGATATCGAATTGTTTTCGTCTGAGTTTTATATATATATATTTTCTGTTTGTTTTCATGACTTGGGCTCAGGTGTTGCTGGCTTGCTAAACAAAGGAAGAACAAATAACTTGAATAACTTATATAGTACGAATGTTGGTAGTTGTGTTCGCTGTGTGTTCTTTTTATATCATTTGCTTGGTTTTATTTATATATATATACGTATATACGATTTTTTGTGGGCTTTGCACGCTCATGTAAAATTCATATTTAATTGCTTTCAAAATGCATACGAAATTAGCTTTTCTTGGTCGGGGCTGCCTGGTGTGAATCGGATTAAATGGTTATTTAATTTACCTGTGTTACGGGATTCTCGCCAGGTCGATAGACGACGTTGTGCAGGGGTCGCTTTCGCCCCACATAATTGACGCATACGAATTCCAGCAAGGAGGCGTAAATGAAGCACATACACACGCCGTCCCACACGTTCATCGCCGTCAAATTAGAAACAACCGGCAGAGTGCTCCGGAAACCGTTCGAGGTAGTGAAGAAATTCAGCATTGTTGTCACGCCTGCAATCCGGTTGTGAAAGTTGTTCCCAGTTGTTCCCAGTTGTTCGCAGTTGTTCGCAGTTGTTTCGAGTTGTTTAAAGTTGGGGATTGTGGATGGTAATTGTAGAGAAAGTTGTATTAGCCGTTTGACACGTAATTAGAAAATCATTGCATACTTTGGGGCTGGGGCAACGGGTGTCAAGGACGAAAGGATGTAGAGTATATTTGATGTGGCATTTAATTGAGTTCTTTAAGTGGTTTTGGCATATGTACAAAAGTTTTTAGTTTTTGGTCTGGTTTACGGAGAGAAAGGGGTAGTCATCGTATCATTTTGTGTTCGGTTTATCCGTTTGTTTTTATTTTGTGATTTATAAACTGTGCAGAAGCTAAAGAAAAGTAATCAATTCTACTTATTTGATAAGGAGCATTAGTTCTAGTATATGCGAAAATGTAATGGTGTATTAGTTTTTGATAGTTTTCCATAGTATTGTTCCGTATGTTTCACTATTTTAAGTTAGTTTATTGGTAGACCCATTTAACTAGAAAATATTTATGTGTGATATATAATGTTTTGTTATTTTATTTATTTATTTATCAGTTATATCAGTTATTAAATAAATTACCCTAAAGATTCTTGTGTCCTAAAACTATTATTACTACTTATATTTATTTAACAACACAGGAACTTAACTGTTCCAATGATTTAACACCTACAATATAATTGTGTAGTAACCTAAACACAGTTATGTAATTGGCAATAAATTCACATTCACATTATTGAACTTTATAATTGATGATTATGTTTGATAAAGGTAACAAGTTAATTTATAATTATTTCGTTTTATTAAACCTGAAGCCAAAAAGAGCATTTAATGATATTTGATTACATATTAAAAGGTATTTATCAAAATCATGTGTTAAATTACGTAAATCCATTAACTCAGCATTGAGCTGCGAAGTACTAAGTTCCTGGCTACATTAATCAATTTTCCCCATTGGCATTAGCATCAGCATTAATCAGAGGTAATGCAGGCATTTAATATTAATGTATTAATTATTCAGCTCACAACAGTGCTAACGGAGTTAAAAATGCTATCTGCCAATTGCAGTGGGAAATGCAACATTATCCATCTTGGTTGCCTAATTAGTTGCGTCAACAATTCTCTAACTAGTTTGGCATGCTGCAAGGAGCTCTTGCTGCAACCGCATCGCTGCATCCACGAACCACATCGATTTTCAATTTGCCAGCGTTCTGGTAACCGCCCCACTCTTACCAAAAAATCAAAAAAAAATATATGTAGGGAAATCTCAGCGCCGCACTCAACTGCAAATGCTCCGAGGAAAAGCTCGAGCTGCGAGTGGGTCACAAATGAGGCAAAAAGGATGCTGCCATGCTAAGAAGGGGCTGCTGTAAAATGCATGCTATGTCAGCACTTTGACTAACAAAACGGCATTGCTTGCCTTGGAGCCATTTCGCCGTTTTTTGACTATTTATTTATTTAGTTTCCTTTTGTCATTGAAATGTCGTTTGATTGTGTTTGCCCTGTGCAGACAATGGCAGCCAGAAATGGAATTATCCTACCCCGCCTTCGATTTTCACAACGCTATTTGAGTGCCATGTCGTCGTTCTGTCATCGGAGGATTCAAGTGCATTATTACTGCAGAATTGTTTAAAACTCATTTCATCATTTTCAGCTTATACTTGAAAGTGAATTCATTTTCCGGCTGTAAACTTGAGACTTTGGTTTGAGACACATGATTAATTCGTATAGTTTTTTAAATAGTCAAAAACTATATGAACATTTTATTCGTGGGATATTACGATTTTAGCATCTATATTTCACTCCATTTTAAAGTCAAGTCAAAAACTAAGCTTCTTTAACGCCTTCTGCAAGTCTATCCTTGCCCTAACTTTGAGTTTTTGCATTACACGCAGGGACCGTTCTGTTCTATTTGACTAGTCCATGCTGGCCATATGGCTTATGCATAAATCATCAGCGTGATGTGACCACCGCTCCACGTCATCATCATCACGATCCCAGGGATGTGGAGTTGCCACAAGCCGTGTAAATACCAGGATACGGCCGTGTCCGTGTTTCTGTGTCTCCTGTCCCGATGCAGCTGCCATTTACGTAGGATCCTGATGTTTCGGCTGACATTCCCTTTGCTGCTCTCATTATTTTCGTTTCGGCAAGGGAAACCCACATTTGGCCAGGGTTAGAACATAGTAATCGCATTATCCTTGCTTCACTTCTCGTACACTTGAGAGCATTATACTAGTACTGAGCCTTGGAAAATATTCGATGCTCCCAGAATCCTGATAGTACATCTTTTAACTACAGCTTTAACTTTTTAAATTGGTCTGTCTTCATTTTGAATTTAATATTATATATATTTGGAGTGCGCCTTTGTTGTTACTTATGACAAGGAAGGTAAATAAATGTTTTTTGTTTTGTTATCACAATTAAGTTTTACTATTTATATTAAATAATTTTTTATATTTATACCCGTTACTCGTAAAGTGAAGGTATATAGATTCGTTGAAAAGTAAAAAGCACAGAAAACGATTTCGAATTCCCATTTCTATCGATATGCCAAATCGATATACACCAGCTGAGTAAAGGGTATCTGATAGTCGGGGAACTTGACTATTGCATTCTGTAGTGTTTTACTTTCTTTGATTGTTTTAGTTTTTATACTTTTTGTAACATACAAATTTTTACTTGGGTTACTGGAACATATTCTATTTAAAGTTTGTGTTGCACTCGAATTGAACATGAATTGTAGTATTATTTTGTTTTGGCATGATGTATGTATGCTTTAGCTGATTTTCGTATATGGTTTCACCAAAGCTTCTCAAAGAAAAAAAGCTTAAAATTGCCTAGTTTAAGCTAAGAAGTCATGCAATGCACAAGGACTCAAGGGAGTTGGGCGTTTACCAAATACGAGTGCAGGAAGTAGAAAAATACAAAATGAGAAAATCAACATTGGTAAAATCAGTCCAAGAAATGGATCGAAATGAAAAAGAAATCCATTTAAATGGAGCGGCTAGCTAAACTTGAACTTTTAATGAGTTAAATGTTCCTAAGCTGCTCTAAGCTAAAAGACTGCTATATTATCATTAAGCTTTGGCCAATTGTCTCGTGGTTGCGTTTAAATTTGGACTAAAACTTACTGGACGCTACATTTCGTTAACGACTAAAATGTGATTTGGACTGTTTTTTCATTGGTTTGGAAGACTTCGATTTTTGTTAGGTTTTCTGTTTGCTTTATTGAGAACTTGGAACTTCTTTCGAAAGTTTTCAGTTTGATTTTGTTTGTTTTACGTACCGATCATTACACGGGCTGGGACTGCATTCCATTCCAGCCAAAATGTGATAAACGACGAGGTGACCAATATAATGCCAGGTATGAAAACGGTTGTAAAATAATACGCACGATCACGGGTAAATGTCAACTCGACCTGTAGGCAACTGTAATTACCTTAAGAAACAAGGCCGGAATTATGCATTATGCAAATTCGGCCAAAGGTTAACACACGCACACACACAGAGACAGACAGAGAGAGATAGAGAGATATATAGATAGAGAGGCCTATTTGTTAGAACTATTTTCCACAAAGGACCTCACACTGTACTCTTCCCGATTTTTTTTTTTTGGCTTACTTTGGCTAAACTATGCTCATACTTTAGGAAGGAAACAATATGTAAAGCTGTAAGTGAAGTGAACTAAACTTGTGGTTCGGTAATTTGGGTTATGCTTTCCAGATTTTTGGGTGGGATGGCTCTCATTCAAGGAACAGAACCCATGCAGCAAACCTTAAATCTAGGATCTTTTTGATGTGGGCATACTTTGAGTGGGCACTGTATTTCATATAAGTTACTACTACGTTGGCCGCATTGAAATGAAATGGAAAAGTGACAATTAGAAATCATAAAATATACAAATTACTTTACAGAAGGGCAATCGAAAAAGGCAAATGCTACGAGAGGCGGAAAGAAATCAAATCAATTGATTTTTGGTTGGGTTAATTTCTTAAAGTACGTATTTTTATTAAGAGTATTTGGTTTTGTTGGTGTGAGAGATATAGAGAGCGAGGGCAAAAATTGGTTATGGTTGTTGGATTTTGGTTTTGTTTTATATTTTGTTTAAATTGGTTGGTTGGTATTTTTGGTATTGTTACCTATCATCGATCTAGCTGGCACGGCATTCCATTCTAGCCAGAAAGTTATAAAGGACGACGTCACCAATATAATGCCGGGTATAAAAACGGTGGTGAAATAGAATGCACGATCTCTGGTAAAGATTAAATCGACCCTAAGACAGCTGTAGTTCCCTAGGGGCATTATTTTTTGCATTTCGGGTATTTTTGTTGGTTGGTTTGTAGCGTTTTTATAAGAGAGTAGGTGTGGGAAGGTAGACAAAGAGTAGACCATTAGATAGGCATTGGATTTAATTCTGTAGATTCTTTGCTAAAATGGATAAGCTGCAAAAGCAAGTCTAGCCGAGCTCTGAGACTACGTAAGAAAATAAGAGAAAATAATTAATATTTTAAAGCCAAGCCAAAGAATGGAGTACTAAACTGAGAAGGTCTGTTTTATAAGAAAAAACCCTAAGATAATTGCACTTTTTGTATGTTGTACAAAGAGTATACCATGTTACCATCAAAACACAACTGTTCTAATTCTTTGGCTAATACAAAGTATAAGCAAATGAAGTGATTGGCATTCGATTACTGGCAATTCAGATCCCAATGACTTACCTCTCCAGCTGTTCTGATCGCAGGCCGTGGTTTGATTCTTGATTAAGTACGCGTTCAATGTGGTCAGCGAAGGACTCTTCCGCAGAGTGTCCTCGTCGTTCTTCCAGACGTACTTGATTTGGGCCTCCTCGTAGGAAACTGCACAAGGACGACAGAGAAATTGAGATTTAAGAATCACTGGCTCGCACAATTCTCAGACTCTCAGCCCCAAGTAATCCCATCACAATATCATTAATTAATTAGATTAATCTAAGGAGGCGGGCACACACAAATGCATATTGTCTGGGCCATTTGTTTGGGCCTCGAGGAAGGCCAGACCCAGCAAATTAAATCATATTTGGCAAACAAGCCGTGACAAGCGGGCAAAAGGCGAAATGCGAAAGGCGAAAGGCACAACACTTCAATGGATGTTTTCCCACTCATAGATGACAATCTCGGCAGGAACCGACATCATCATCATCTTCCTCTCAAAGTAATTTACGATGTTGCTCACGTTCTTAGCCGTTGTTTCCAAGCGGGTTGGGAACCGGAAACAACTTTCGCAAAACAATGTAAAGACAAAAAGCCCACAACAAGGCTGACTGGATAGTTATGTGTGTGGCAGGCAGTCAGCCTTGTTAGTCACTTTGTCAGCTTTTGTCGTTTCCCCCTATGCCACGCCCCTTCGGCCCGACCGCCCCCCTTATTGTTGCATGAACACACACACACACACAGAGGCAAGCAAATAGGCAAATGCAGATGGTGGCGAAGATTTCCCCTGAGTGGCAGTCAACACGCTCGCCTGCCCATCTTTTTATCATCAGCACATCAACATCTTGAGGTTCCCTCTCAACACTTTGGATTTGCACATCATTTATACATTAATCCTACTTCAGTTGTATTGTTTAAAAAATACTTAACTCTCAACACTTGCTTCTGACAACTTTCTTTATGCAAGCCAATATGTTTTTAATTGCAAGTTGTTTCTGTTGATTTTTATTCAAGGTTGTGTTTAGTAATAATATAATGTAACTTACTGCTCTCCATGGAGAAGGAACACTTGGGGTCATCGAATGGAAATATGTGAAGACTTCCCTGGCAGGATAATATCAGGTGACGTCTACAAGGAAATTGACAAATTGTTTTAAATAAATACGCAAATAAACCCATTTTTCATATGCATAAAAGAATTATATTTATCGTACAATTTCATGAAATTATATTTACAGAAATCCTAAGCTTTTGTTTTGCTTTGGGCACCTAAACATGTGTATGTTGAAATGAAATCTAAACAAAGGTATTTACCTTACAATAATTAATATATATTACATATTTTTGCTATGCCCATCTATCGAAAAATATTTGTTGGCCTTATAAATCTTTGAATTTTATCCTCGAGCAATTTCATGCTTGTCTTTGCCACTTAATATCACGCTTTGTTCGGCAACATCAATTCATAATTTTCCAGCCCGTGTCGCTGTCGCTTTTCCAACAAGTTTTTCCGACGTTCCTCCTTGTCGGCTATGCAAACAGCAAAAGGGAAATGCTGGACCAGAAAATGCTGGAAAAGTAAATGGCAACTGCAACTTATTTTAATTGCTGGACGACACTTTTGCGCTATGCAGTCAATTGGAAAAGTTCTGTTGAATTAAAAATGTAGACAAGTTGGAAAACGAGGGGAAGTGAGCGGGAAAGGGGGCAGAGTAAGACAAACAAGACCATCCAACAAATGTTGGTCATATTGTGAAAAGTTCCTTGCTTTTTTCCACATACGAGCCTGAATTTTCCAGCTGGCCAGGAATTGGGATATATGTACTTCGTACCTGGGCAAATATTTACATACCTACTTTCACTTTACATTTTACTCATATTCACCTTTTTTCCTGCCTTCTACATTTCTTGTGCTATTTTTCATTACGGCCTCGTATGTTTGCCGGGCTGGCTTACATATTTTGTGGGCCCTTTCCCCAAATTTTCCACTAGCCAGCGGGAAAAAAGGTGGAAAATTGAGCAAAAGAAAATAAAAAAGCAAAGGGAATAAAAAAATATTGCCGCTTCGCCTGTCATCTTGCTATCCCTAATGAATATGAACTTTGAGCGAAAATTTGCATTTTCTGGCGCCATTAAAGCCGCTTAGCCCGGCCTCGTCTCCGGATTTTGTATAAAAAATTCATTCATATTCAAATCGGGCTACAGAGCAGACACACACCTCATTGCGTACGTAATGGTCCCGTTCCGAAATATTCTTAAAGCGAAATGCATTGGTATGATGGGATCCTTGAAATCGCCATGCATAATGAAATACGTATCCGGCGTCCAGATGCTATCATGATGATGCAGAGCATTTAAGAAGTCATAATGAGACTTATTGCCATATTGCAGTCGCGGATCGTTCCATTGCTGGTTCAGCAGAAATTCAACCTCGTATTTCTGCAAGCAACCGGTTCAATATAAATAAAATATATATTACATTTTCATCTATCCGCAGGACTCACCAAACTGCTTTCATCGGGCGATGCTAAGCTCAGGAGCAGCACGTTCACGTTCACCGTCAGAGTGCCTATTAAAAAAGGATTTCAATACACACGGTCTACTCAACGGTCCACTTAACATATATTTTATTGAAGTGCCAAGTGCCGGAAGAAGAAAAAATGAACTGCCCGGAGAAGTGATAAAGCAAAAGGTCTACTGAAAATTAGTTTATGGAAATGCCAAACTTAATCATCATTTAACCAATCTGTGAATGAGCTCGAGATTGACTGCTCCTAACTTAATTTTTAAACACATCCTTGGGTAACACCACAACTTTTTGCAATAAATAGCTTGTTTAAAAATTCAGAAAAATTGGACAAATTATACTTGAAAATTAAGAGTCGTCGAAATGAAAGTAAGAAGTACAGATACAAAGTGCATCTACATAATATAAAATCCGCGAGAGTACACCAACCGCGATTGTGTGGTCTCCGTGCATTTTGATTAGTTGCCATATCGGGCGATTGCAAACCACAGCAAAAGTCTTCATCTGCAAAAATGAATTAAATTAGATTGAATCATTTCGAGTACAAATGTTTAGCTTTAGTCTCATCACTTTTTCCGATCTATATTATCCTTTTAACAAAAATGCGATTCTCTAACAGCTCAAGGAATGTAATGATTTTCCAAAGCATAAGCATATCGAAGAAAAAGCCATTGCATTGCATACATTGTTTGGCTGAAGATAGTGGCCACCCAAACCCCAAAGTGTCCACTTCTTTTGTGCATCACATCCATGGCAGTGGAGCCATTAACTTTAATTGATTTTATAGTGTCCATACGTCGTGGCCTGGCTCCTTCAATTGTTGTCTGCTGGATGTCGTTTGGCAACCAGGACAGAAGACCCGCTTTTCCCCCTTACGAAAGCAACTCTTAATGGCACACAAACTATGTGTTCTTTTTCCCCAGTCTCCACTTAGTAAAATTGTAAATTTAATCGCAGCATTGTGAAAATGGCGGATAATTTCTGAAACTTCTTACCATTTACAGGCGGCAGTAATCGTTTATCGTAGCGCTTCTTCTCAAGCAGTAAATCTAATATTTCCTTATCCGAACTGGACTCATCAAATCTGTGGAACACGAGAAAACCATTTGAAATCTTATAGACATTGTTACGACCGATATCTGTGTTAGTAATTGACAGAATATAAAGTTGTTATTTTCCCAAGGAATCTTTTATGTACAACAGTTTTGTGTGCTGTTTCTTAAGTAGATGGGAAGATTTAGCCGAACAATTAAAAGATAATATAAGAAACCCAAAAGTAGGTAAGCAGTTAAAACAGTAATATTGTTTTCTCAATTCATTTTTGAGAATCTAAGAAAACCTTTAAGTTTTAGAAATCCTAAAAATTATCGTTTAATTCTGAGAGAGTAAATAGTTGACTTGCTATGAAGTAGTTGGCTAAGCATTTTATTTTATGCAACTCATAAACTTTATTGCAAATTGCATGCATAACATCAGCAGAACGAAGCTGAGAAAAACCAATTACCTCAACTGGAAATCAAATAAACTCAAAAGGTATAGTGTGTGCGGAAAACGAAACTTAATAATTCCAGTAAAAGAGGTAACCAAAACTCGAGTTTTCTCTTTTTCCGTATAATTCTCAGCTTTCGGTATTTCTTTTTTATTTTTAGAGATGAAAGGAGGTGTGCATTAACTTACTTCGACCAATCGATGCCATGACTGAAAGAATTTCAAAAAGGAAAAAATAAATAGAACAATTTTTGTACGTGTTGTGAAGAGGATTGCCAGGCGATACAGAATGAAAGATATACACGTTTGGAGAGACAGATGGATAGTTGGGAAAATAGGGAGGCTGTGTGGGCGGGTTGAAGGTAACAAAATCAAATGGTAGTATTCCTAAATGAATTGGGTTGATCTTATGAATGCGCCGAGTTCGCCCCGATTCCAACGTAAAGTATCTGATCAAACATTTTCGATAAGTTCTCTTCTCTGAGTATTGCAATGGCAGCTATATGATATAGAAGTCTGATCCGCTCCGTTGCGACTCAAATACCATATGCAATTAAGACTTTTGAGAACGTTAGATAGCTTTAAAACTGAAAGACTACTAAGACAAACGGACGGACAAAAGTACATACGGACAAGGCCATATCGACTTGATACTGAACAAGAATATATATAATTTATATGGTCGCAAATATCTCCTTCACTGCGTTGCAAATTTGTGAATGACATCAATATACAGGGTGTGCAAGGCTATAGAAATTATAGACTAATTCGGAAAGGGTATATCAGCTTCGGCTGGCCGAAGCTAGCTTTCTGCCATGTCCCTATTTCTGTTGAGGCAAATCAAGGCGAACTTGTGGTTTGCGTGACACTGTGTGGAATCTATCCGATTTATCCTGCACTCACATGGGATGCTTGTCGAGGGCACCCGTCTCCGACTGCGTGGCAGCTGCCGTGGACGCGGTGGTCAGATAGCAGAGCATCAGGAGCACGCTGGAGGCCGCGTAGAAGCTGATCGACTGGCTGTAGTGCTTGTAGTGCTGCCCGAGATACTGGAAGGCTGCCGCCGAGGTGGCCGCTGCCGTGGCGCCGACATTCGCAAGGATGGCCGCTGTCATGGTGGCGGGCAGCTGGGTCTCGGCATACGGATGTCCTTGCCACGCGCGGTAGGCTTGGGGCTGGCGGTCCTGGACAGGATTGAGGTCCTCGTGCTTCTGCAGCGTTTTCGCTAGGGCGGCGAGGGCGTGAAAATGCAGGGATATTGCCGAAATTTTGCAGATGCTCGCAGGATCCGCTGCAGGATCTGGGTGGCGCCTCCGCCGGCGGACATTGTGCTGCTGCCAATGCTGCCCATCCTCATGCCGCTCGGCGATTTGAGTCGTTGTTGCCGCAATATCGATTCTGCCGATTCTGCCGATTCTGCCCGCCGCCGTATCGACAATGGATCCTTGCCGCGCCAACGCGTCCTCGCCTTCGTCCTTGTGCGTTTCAGCCACTTGACTACTGTGCTGGTTGTTCTCCTGACGTGCCTGCCGTATCGTTAAAAGCACTTGAGTCGCCGCTTTTAGAGCCTCAGCCTCCGTTTCAGTTTCGGTTTCAGTTTCTGTTTCTGCTGCTGCGTTTATTGCTACTGCTAGTGCTACTGCTACTTCTGTTTGTGTTTCGGTTTGCGTTTTATGGTTTTGTTGATAGTTATCCTTGATTTTGATGTCCTCAGCTGGCTTGTCGTTGTTTCCTCTGGCAGCGACCTTGCCTCTGGTCCCCGCTGCTGGTTTTTCCGCTTTTCCACGGCATTGGTTGCGCCTCAGTTGCCTGCTTCTCGGTTTGTGGGGCTGCTCTTTGGCCGCTTCAAAGACGCAGCCCATGTTACGACAACTGCAAGGAGTGGTGAATCAAACAGAAGGGTATTATTTTTATGATATGTCAATCACTTTCGGGTGTTATACACTTTACTTTAAGAAATACTATGACTATACTATCGCTTTAGTCCCATTACGTTCCCTATCTCTGATTTTAAGGACATAATTTAAGGACTTAAGAATTTTGGTTAATAGTACTTGATTTTCGTTCAAGTTTTCGAATATCTTGTTTAATTTTGGGAGAAACAAATTTAAAATAGCAATTTAACATATTTAAATTATGTATATAATCTAAAGTCAGCTGAATTAAATATGGAAATATTATAAAAAAAAATACATCAACGAAATTAAAAGTAAATATAAATAAAATTTTGGAATACATTAAAATATGGTAAAGTGTAGTATTGAAAGTCGTACATTAAGTAAAAGCTAAACGACTGTCAAAAATAAGAATAGCACCAGAAAGCTATTTTGTCAGGGTTTCAATTTAACTGCACCCCAGCCAAACTAATTACCCTCGGCGAAAGCAATTCGCACGGCACAATCGGAAATAAAAATCTATCGTCACCCACTTGATTGCCGTTCCAATGACTTGGCTGCATCAACACTCGCGGCGGTACATATAGGATTTGATTGATGTGGCAATATTGGATTGCTCCGGCCCAACGACCACGCCCACCTGCGTGCACCACACCCAAACGTAAATGTCAGTTGCCAAATAACACGGGTCCTGTACGGGATTTACGACTGCCACAGGAAGACTTTAATTTTCCAGGTGATTTCGAGCATAAGCAGCACTGCGAATGATTCCATGGAATTCCCTAAATTTTATGGACAAGTGCCCTTGTTGGTGGATTTTGATTGGCTAGATCACGAATATAATGAGCTAGAAACTTGGCGACACTTGGGTGAGTTCCCTAGTATACATTCAGTACCAGAAAATATATTATATATTAATTAAAAACATATAAATCCTAGTCAAACTCATCAGAAGCACAATTTCTTTATCCACTTAAGACATTAGTATTTTTAAAATATTTGGAATATTTTTAATTGCCAAAATATTTAATATTTATATAAACATATTTATTTATTCTGAGCATACAACGATCTCAAGCTCGTATGCCTTATTCATCTGAAAAATGTTGCCAAAAGTGATAAAACAAGTTAGTTCTACCGTGGTGCAAGCGGTTTAGGCCAGGGCCAAAAACGAATGTCAGTCAGCTAGTCAATGGGCCAAACGAATTTTTATTGTTGCCTGTCAAAGGCTGTCTTTTCGCTGCCTTTCGGTTGTTGGCAATTCAGTTGTTGCTGTTGTAGTGGTTGTCAATTTGTGGCCAACTCAGGGAGGAATGCAATTTTCATTTCGGCCAAAAGTGTACATACTTGTATGTGTAGTTTTCAAGTAAGTACCAGTTGGGCTATATTTTGACATTTTTCGAACATGCAAAGACCTAAACGGCCATTGCTCCTGGTGAAATGAATACCAACCTCAAAAATTCAATTTCCGCTTTTGCGCCAAATAAAACTGCAGAGTAAAACGACATCCATTGAGAATGAATGATTTAGGTCTGATAAGTTATTTTTGTACACTTACCATGCATGTTTGAACACATGTTTCTTAAAAGCAAAGAAATATAATCGGCTTTTGTACAATCAGCATAAGCTGCTTATGAAAACTTATTTTCATACTGTTAGCAAAAGTTTACAGATTTAGAATTCTGAAAACAAGGAAGCAAACCGCACTCAATTTAAACTTGATTGACCGAACAGCTTATTCCCAACCATATGGAAAAGCCAGTGAAAAACTTTGACATGAGTGAGTCGGTTCTCCACTACTGCCCATTTCCCCTTTTAATCAAAGAAAAACCGCAGAAAACGCAGACAAACCCACCATAGCGGGTACTCAGTGGCTTTGGGTATTCAGGGTCTTCATTATACATTTATTCGATTTTTACGTGACTTTGGCCATAAAGCACAAAAATAAACCCCAAGACAACAGATAGCAAAAGTAATAGGCTTAGAAACTAGGCATAGCCAAAGAAGTGGGCTCGTAAATGGGTCCCATATACAAATTGCTACCGATATAGCTTATACGTGTTCTCCTTGACCCCATACAAACACATTCACATACACATGCACCCATACACCCATACACCCACATGTGCCAGGACAATTATTGGCCTCAATCTGTTTTAAACGCTAGTGTTCGACTTTCCTTTTATTTTCGTGGTGTTGCACCAAAATTGTCAAAAACTTTAACTGAATGAGCAAACTTTCGAAGCGCAGCAGAATGCTTTGAATAAAAAAAAGGGTGGAATATACAAAAATGACTGGTCATAGATCAGTTCACAACTGGCTTCCTTTGAATCCTTCCTGGAACTCCCCGCTGATATCCTTCATGGCTTCCGGCGCATAACTTTACACAAACCGCGCTCGAGAGTCCGACGACTGCAGTTTGGTCAAAGTTAATCCTGCCATCGTCTGGCGGCCGGAAACGGCGCCAACTGACAGCCCAGGCCAACAAGCAACCCGAAACACAACCAACACTTTCCATCCATCCCTTCGTCCTTTTGCTCTTGCTGGGCTTAGTCTATTTCGTTGTGCATTTCATTTTTCGCACTCAACTTTTTCACATTTTTAGTGGAGCAAGTTTTCATATTCCGTATCTGAATCTTTATTTTGTGGCCCCATGTTGTAGCTGCGACTTGTTCAGTCAATTTAATAATTTGCTGCTAGTTGCTGCCTCCCCTTTCTAAATTATTTGACACTGCGGGGGATTTGCTTGCAACATTACTTGCATACTTTTGGGCGGGCGCTTTTGTTGCGGTGGCCACATGTCGGATACTTAATATCCCTCTGAGCGACAAACAATTCGAGCACGTTTTATGCTGGATCAGCTTTAATGCCCTAATTTGTAATTTTGCCCAAATCAAGCGGCAATCCAATTAGATGGTAGTCCGACACTTTTGAAGCTGGCCAGAGTTAATTGAAAATTCCATTAAATTTGATGGAAGCGAAACTATTTGTCGGGATGAGTAATTGCAATTCACAAGTGATGTTCAGTGGAAAAGAGTTCGTTGGTAATTGGAGTAAGTCCAATTTAGTTAAATGAAGTTGCCTCGATTGACGTTGATATTTATTCCTGATTGAATTATGAATTATCCACAGCTAGCGCTTTCATAAATTGTTGGGTAATTCAACTAAGCGAATTTGCTGCATTCCATTACCCAAATCTCTTTTGTTGAAAAACCTTTTAAGGGAAATATTCAAGTTTGCCGTAAGGGAACAAGTATCGGTCACAGACCAATGGGTAACCTCAGTAAACAAAATGAAATAAAAACTTTACCCACAACAACAGCAACAAGCAACAATTACAAACAACTTGTATCGATTTTTCGGGCTTCAGTGTTTGCCATGGCGCCATTGTTCGAAGTCACGAACTTTCCAGTGACAGAAAAGACAAGAGCAAAATAAAGTTGATTAAACCCATTGAACATGTTCCTGACTTTTAACGTATCCTACATAGCCACGTATATATACTTGTAAAGATTGTGGGCGGCCAAACCAGAAAGGCTAAATGGGGGCATTGTTGTGTTGAAGGCAGCTCAACGAATTATGAATGTGGACAACTCAACAAATTGGGAACTCATCCATTGTTCCGAAAAAGTTTCATTCACACAAGGAGAAAATCTTTTTAAAAGTAAGGTAGAATGCATACCAAATGCCGTTCTTACCGTTTAGTCTGAATTTTTATTTGAGAGTTGATAGCAACAATCCCTATTAATTTTTCTGATTGTACAGATGTTGTATAAAAATATTCTCTCCGTGTTTTATTGCGTGTGCATTAGGTTAATCCTTTAGTTCTGGTCATCCCACATGTCCTGTGGGTGTCCTGCACTTCAATCAAATTGTAACTGCATACACGAAATTCATATTTGATGAGCTTAGTCCACCGCTAGCCATAATGGACCATAATCTGTTGCATTAAAAGTTATTAAAATGTCATGGCAAATACCAAAATTGCATTGCCTGGCAACGTGGTAATTGAAGAAGGGCACTTGACCCACTTTTGCCAGCGAGCGAATTGAAATTGGAAATTGGCAGTAAGAGCAATCTGCATGATGCCAAGCCTAATTAAATAACTCGGTGGCCAGATGCAGTGCGTTTCCGTCTGGAATGCAGGTGGTTATCCGGAGTGGAATGGCCCGGCGATTCGAGTGGAGTCGAGTGCAGTTCATTCGCATTTCAATTAAAATGGGAGTGCAGACATAGACACAAACGGGCGGCGGGCACTCAGCAAATGCAAACCACTCAGTGGGACGCTAAGCCGTTTAGGCTTAAGTCAGCTTATTGCTCGGAAAAGTGGAACACGCGACGACATAGTTGACACACGACGACGACCTGTTGGAGACCGAGAATTTTCCAATAATCGAACGTGCGCGTTTAATTAATGCCAGCCAAGTGTAATTGAATAAAAGGTGCTCCAACTCCTGCGGTTTTTATTGCGATTGCATTGCTCAGCTTGAACTTTGATAGCTTGAAACTGATTGTCTTGAGAATACCACGATATTGGTACAGTAATGAAAAATAAATTATTCAAAAACAAATGACTAGGACACCTTTAGTTACACATCCCTCTGTCCATGCATATGGCTCACCGCTGAGCTGGCTGTTTAAGCCAACTAATTGCACCTTTTGACAGTTTTCGCTGCAAACGTTTGCGCACATTAACTCAAAGTGACAACGCTCGTGTGTGATGGACTCTGCAGACTCTGCGGGTTTACAGGGTAGTGAGGTGGGGAGCTTGGATGGGTAGTGGAGCTAGTGGTGCACTTATAGGATGTGGGGGCGTTGGGAATTTCGTTGTTTGCCTGCGTGGTATCACATTCTGTTTACAATAAGCTGGGGTCAGCTCGATGACGATGACGATGTTGGCCAGCACAGGCGAAAGTCGAACGCAGAAATGTCGAGGAAGAGACAACTGGTTTTCCTCTGCGCCCCAGGGAAATAAGAACTGAAATCGAACAGATGGTTGTCGAACATGTTGACTTTCAGAATTTTCACAAGCTCCCTTGTTTATGCAGCATGTTTTCGGTTGAACACTTCGCAAAAGTTGCGCTCACATATTTTATAAATAATTAAAATTGAATGAGTAAATTGCGGTGAGTATTCTCGGATGACCGCGACCACAGGTCCTTTAAGTGAAGCGGAAGTACGTATGTCACGCGCGCCAATGTCGCGCACACAGTTGTGGTCAGAATATTAACGCAGCCAGCTCGAGTTACCGACTTAGGCAATGATTTATAATATAGCTAGATTTATATTAAATGCCGCTTTTGGCAGAAGAGTATCCGTGGTATTGGTATAATAAAGAACATAAAGAAACATTCAAACGGAAATATTTAAGTCATTTTGGAAATATACCTTCGGAAAAAAGAGTTCCTCTTCAATACAAAGAAACATTCAAACAGAAATATTGAAGTCATTTCGAAAATATACCTTCGGAAAAAAGAGTTCCTCTTAAATACCCTAGATTACAATACTCCGAGCTTTAACTTTAGCTGAATATGTTTATTTGATGGCCACCACTCGCTGCTCTTTGAGTAATTAAACAATCGAATCGAGCAATCCCCTTGATCCCATTTTCAGATCGAACTTTTCGAGGCTGCGTCCTTTTCTGTTCACTTTTTTTGCTGCACATGATGACCAGTTTCGCTAAAGGCTTTGGCAAGGATTTGTTTTTTGTGCGTCGAGAGTCCTCCTAAAATGTCGAAGGGAGCAGTTCGAATGCTCTTCGTCCTGTCAGAGCCACTTAAATGCCATGCATCATGGAAATTTATGTGAATAAATTATAATCAAGCGAAGAAAAGCTTGCAGACCGTAATAATTCAGATTAAAAAGTATTTATACACATGACACAGTCAGTTGGGAAAATTCTTCACGGTGGGCTGAAGGCCCCACTGGGATGTGGGCGTGGCAGCTGCAATGGAAGTGGAAGCTGGGTGGGCTTATGCTGCTGGTCACGCGTGTTGGCCGCGTGTGTCCTGCGCTGATTTCGCCATAATAAATTGACATTTTTTGGACGTTTCTCTGCTCTTCGCTCTGGTTTTCGCTCGGAGAACTGGGAGCTGTCTGTCACTTAAGCCCCGTTTCTCCTTTTTCCACTTTTGGCTGGTGGTTTCTGCTGTTTTTACACGCGTTCAGGGCAAGAAGCTTACGGCGATATTGGCCAAGAGATGCATTCCAGCGATACGACGAGTTCAAAATTTATATTTTAAGTCAAATTGGTTCTTAAAAAATACATTTCTCCAGTTGTGCTTACTTGTATTAACTAGCAGTGCTACGGATAGTAAGTTAGGCTTGACACCATTTCGGATTTGAAATCCACAACATGAGTGCTCTTTGCTTTATAAAATCTGGGCAATCAGAATTCTTGGGTTTCCCCCACAAGACAACAAAAAGCCAGGAACAAAATGACGGAAAACCCAATAAGCATTCGAAAAACAAGTACCATAAGAACAGCGAACAAGCAGCGACAAATAATTTGGCACAAAAGCAAATAAACCAGATAAGCAAACAAACAAACAAACAACATGAGGAAAAGACGTTGAAGAAGCAACAACAAACGGGGAGAGTAGAGACAAAAACGAGCCAAGTACCAAAGCACATAATGAGCATAATGGGCGTGTTGAGAGGGGTGACTGCTGTTTGGGGGTCACATTGCCCCTATGCCATGTGGCATGCCCCTGTGCAACATCCCCCCCTTTCCCCACCCCCCTCGCCGTGGACTTGACGAGCGCCAAAGAGCTTTTTGTGTTGGTTTCTCTCTGTTAGTGCTAGAATAAGCGCCACTTTACATGCACACGCATACGCACACACATGTACACTGGGAAAAAATTCCGACGGAAGAACTTAAGCATTTTTAAATAATCATGGTAAACTTTATTTATGATTATGACAAATATGTATTAATACATACATACGTATATCTTTAAAGTACTTATAATTAAAAATCACTCAAGTGGTAGCTCTTGTTATAGTAAACCTACCAATTTGTTCGCGTGTAGAGTATGCGGTTTAAATGTAAGACCTATTATTATTGATTTAGGCACAAAGTTTCGCTGCCGTCAGTTGACATATTTCTGCCACCGTCTTTGTTCTTGATCTTAAAAAACAACTTAATCTTTCGAAATAGCCATTTCGTGACTCCCTTCTCTGAGTGTACTTGCTGAGGGGCGTTGGCAAAAGAGAAATTAGGGGATGTCACCCATCCTGGCAGGATGCAGTTACCAGCTGCAGCTGCAACTGCGAAACGAGGGCAAAGGCACGTCGCCAACCATTTAAACTAATCTTGAGGCAGTTTATTTATATATCTCAAGGGTCGTTTGTTCCAACAATGTGCCCAGCTTATATAGAGCATATATATTCCATGTATACATATATATATATACCTGTTTAAGAGCAGATGGTTTCTAAAAGGGGGAGCAAGCCAAACGAACAAGGGGGATCATATAAAAACAACTTCCCACAGGCAGGAGATATATCTCATAGCACAGTGAACATTAAGCTAAGCCTTTGATAGTGGGAGCAAATAGGCAAACATACCATACATAATATAATATAATGCATTAGCTCTGTAAGTTATTGACTCATTTTATATACGGAACTCATAATGATAACATATAAACTGTAAGACTAAACATCAAGCCCTAATTAAAACATTAAATGGTGCGTATACGGTATTCGGTTCTAATCTTCTGAGCATTTGATCGAACTGATTAAGAATAAAATGTATTCCTTTATAGTATAGTATATTTAATTTAAAAGTTTATTGCGAACCTTAACATTGATTTCCCACGTCTGCGTTTCAGTTGATAGGCATGATCTGCATGAAAGGAGCTCAATTACATGAATTGAATGGGGCACCCAACCTCACCTCACTCCTTCGCCTCCAGCTCAATGGTTCATGGAGCTCCTTAAGGTCGGAGCCGCACACTTCACTTACCTTTGCCTCAAGTAATACCGGTCGGGAAGCTATTTAATTTCTATATAAATATTTTGCCGTAGACCACAAATCTGCGGGTCATAAGCCGCAAGGACACGGCGCCGCAGGACACGCAGCTCCTTGGGAGCTTACGAGTCCGTCAGGCTCGCCAATCCTCGCCAAGCCTCAAGTGCATGCCCGACTGAACGTGTATTAAAGCAGCCGGAAATTAAACACACAAAAGTTTTCCAAGACCTAGCCTGCACCTTCACAAATACACATGCACACAGCTGCACTGCGGAAAGCCAGGGTTCCGAATGAAGAGGTCCTTGTAATATTCTTCCTACCAAAGAACGCGTTCCTTCCTCGCTACAAAAAAGTAGTCGATTACCTTAATTGTTAACAAAATATTCAGCTTTCCAAATTCGTTGAACTCAGTCTAACCGCAATTTAATAATTGTGCACACTTTTCTCTTCGTGTAGAGCACTGCTTGTTCGTGCTTTGCATTTTTATGTTCCGTACTTTATTTTTTAGTATTTCCCGTGTGAGATTCTTTGAAAGCGAATGCATTCAGAGATCCGTTTGAACAAGTAAGGCTGCCTTTGTGGCTGGAAGGATACGTCTTCGACTCACCAAATTTAACTCGGCAGCCAGTTCAATGGAATCCGCTAGCGCCTTGTGTCTGCATGGACGCACACGTCGCCAGACCGCTGAAAAAGATAGGCAGCAATTATTAAATGGATACGTCAATGGAGCTCGCACTTCAAGATTGTTTGGCAATGTTGGGCATTAATTCCCCATTGTCGGGACTGATGCTCCAAGCAACGAGCAGCACAGACGAGGGCGGCGTTTAGATAAAATTAAACATACGACTCATGGCGAATGGAAAGGGGCGAGACTTGGGCCCAGCTACTCATGTAGCCGGCATCAGCAGCTTGGAATTCCCCAGCATGTGCCTCCGGCGCAAATGATGGAAATCACTTAACACGGAGTGCGGGGCGCGGGATGACGATGACAACGAGGATATGACAGGGACAGGAGTGGGTTGTAGTGGTCCTGGAAGGAGTGGAGTGCTCTGCTCCGCTCTGCTGGAGTGGGTATTGTGTCTGAGTTCCTAATGAGCTTTTGTCTGCTGCATACTTTTCAGCGACGAGCGGGCATTCGAGGCGAGACTTCTGCGTCTTGGGCTTTGTGCAAATATTTGACAGGCGGCTGAGGGACGGGGCTGTCCCTTGGCTATTATGGCAAAGTTTCTCTGGGCGGAGTGCAGAACTAATGAAAAATCAGAGCGAGGGGCTTTCAGCCAACAATTAAGCTATGACGGACCCTAGCAGATCGCTTCATTAGCCTATTTATCTCTGCATCAGGAATAGACATAAACATATTGCGCAGCCTCATTTAAGGAAACTCGAAGGACTTATAATGCTTGATTTCCTTACTACCTAATGAAATATATTGATTACCCAAATAATACATGAACAATTTAAAAGCTAGCATATAGATTGCTTAGGAAAAGATGAAAATAATTCCTATCTAAGCTGAAGTTGTATGGTAAAGGACACACATTGGTAACTGAAATCATATGTCCCGCTTTGGTTTATATTGGCCATTGAATGAATAGCCAATATCCAAATTTATTTGCTCAAGCAGGGATAGCCCATATTAATTTCCGTCGCACAATTTCATTAAAGCCCGTACGCATAATGAGTACCAACTTAATTGCCCTTTTTACAAGATGTTTCCTTCCGACTGCCCCAACAACATCAATAGCTATTTTATGGACACACAAAATTGAAATTCCCACCACTTGTTTAATACACTTAAGCCATCAACTTGGACTTGGTGCACATGGCCACACGTACTAAATCACTTACGCCCAAGTTCAATCAGACGAGTTAATAACTTCCGCAAAGTGGCAGCCAAAATTAACCATAATTCACATGCTACGGCCAACTAAACTGACCTATTAGCCCGGCTGAACCTCGGACTTTTGGGTTCGTAAGCCGGTTAGTACGCTCCAATGGATGGGCCGTGCTCCACAGTGGGCCACGTTGATCTGGGCCAAGACTGCGCGGAAGGAGGGGACTGTAATATGGTAATTTTAGCGCTTGTCTCTCCACGGACTCACATGGCAATCAGCACACACAAGCCCAGGTACACAAAGAATAAAAATGCCGGAGCACATGTCACATTTGCCACATGAGTTAACGTAGCTCATTTATCATGGCCCCTTTCAGCGTTCCGCGTCCTGCGTCCTGCGATGTCCTTTATCCTTCTGTCTCCCCGAGGCGACGGTTCAAGGTGACCAAGGCATTTGCCGGCCAATCTGAGGTCGAGTTCTCACGTGCACTTGGAAATCACAACGTACACTTTGGTCGGGCGCAAAAATGTAAAATCACTAAGGCACATTGTAAAGTAAAATACATTTTTAAGCAATACTTTTAATTAAGAGCAACAGAGCAGCAGACATTATATTCACGGAACTTCCTGTCCACTAGTTTATAGGCTGTTAGAGGGAACGTATAGTGAAATATAAGCCATAACAAGTTGGGAATTATTTTTAAAAACAATGGGCACTAGTTTCTAATTACAATTAACGATGCCTTAGTCTAAATAACAAAAACATGGTCTAAATGAAGAGCTTAAGGGTATTAGCTATGCTTACGAAACTTTAAATATCATTTTAATTGTGATTATATTGGTTATATTTGGTTAAAGAAAGCCCTCTGATAACAGTTGAATATTAAAAGAGGTTGTTTTCTTTTTGGAAGTACTTTTACATCCGAAATAAGAGATATTATTTATTGTCTGCGCAATTTAGTAAGCAGCAAGACTTCCCTATACCCTTTTAATATCACTTTATATATAGTTTCAAATGATTTACGCATTTAACAACATTGCTGTTTTCCCCGACCTTTCCAAACTTTTATTCAAGTGTAGGTGTGCATGTGTACACCTAACAGCAAACTCTAATTGCAGCCCCAAGGTATTGGCATAAGCAGATGGTGGAAGATCCTTAATTACGGCAACCACGACTTCTCAAACTGAAAGGACTCTGCTCCCAGCACCACAATGCAATATTTATTAGTGCGTGTGGCTGGCTCCCCGGCCCCACAAGTATATAATAAACATATGTGCATGCGAACACACACTATACGGTATACACATGTGGTATGGCATTAGATGTCGCCTGACTAAATTTAGATATGCAAATCGATAAAAAGAAATACCAAGGCACGCACGCATTTTTAGTGCCTAGGAGCGGTTTTCCAGGCGGACTGAGCTAGGACTTCTAGGACTAGGAATAGGACTAGGACTCGTGGTCGCTTGAAAGGACTCTGGCTGAGGGACAATGGAGCAAAGGTCGCGCTTTTGTATAATTGTATAAAGATAGTAGAGGCCCTATTCCCGCAAAACGATTTACAAACCTGCCACGAGGACTCGCCCCCAACTGGGGCTTTAGATTTAGGCTGGCATGATAGCTTTTCCCGGGAAATGCCAACTCATTTGTTTTCCTCGGCTGGCTGGTTAGTGGCAGAGTCAGGCAGAAAGTAATTCAATGTGGGCTTTGTGAGCAGTGCACAAATTAGGGACTTCAAGTGATTGGTAGTGAAATTGATTTTATTGGCAGTACATTTAGATCCTACTTTAAGACAAACTAAGGTTTGTTCGTAGAATCAGAGAATAATATGATATATGAGGAGTCTTCTGTCTCATATAAACGTATATCTATATCTATTTAAGTTTCATTTACACTCGTTTATTTGCCAGGTGTCGTTACTTTCAGGATCTGTCTGGCCCCTAATTATAATGTTCGTTCATAATTGTCTTAGTAATTATAGAGTTGCTGCCTGAATTGTGGTGGCCCAGGCACTTTAGCATTGTGGGAACCTTAACTTTTGTTTTACTTTCACTAATAGAACCAATTGGGGCACACAAACAAGCGTTCATGTATATTTCTGTGTGCTGTGTGCAATATTTATGGGCATATATTGATTAAATAATTAGGCCTCTGCAAGAGACAAATTCACATGGATATAAACGAAATTTATGTCAAATGCCGGGGAATATAAATTTGTGCGAAAGCAAAGTCTACTTTTTCAGTTGCGTTTCATTAAATAAAGCAAATTGCGCAGACTGGCCGAGCAGAGCGACTTAATTAATAATTTATTCGCTGCTTGTTAACACTTCTCTCCCCTACTTTTCGCTTATGCTTGCTTTATCAACATTTTCCGTGTTTGTTTCTCCTTCTATATTTGTTTTTCTTTGGGCAAAGCCCCAGGATATTTGAGCAGGACTCTCTGAAAAGGGGTTAAGTCTTTGAGCCAGACTCAGATGGACAAAGTGAATAATATAGGTGCATCTACTACTGCAGGTGGAGCAGATTCGGGCAAAGTACGTGGTGAATGGTGAGAGTAACTCGAAATTGCAGGATTTGGTTTGTGGTTTCCCATAAATAAGCGGGGTTCCTTAGTGCTGTAACAACTACAATTTTTCAACTCCCAAAACATAAAATTAAATCTTCAAATAATTGTGTAGTCAAAGTAATGCTTAGTTATTTGAAGTACACAACGACAGAGTTTTGCAACATTTATGGACTTAAAAAAGCAGTTTTTGCAAGTAAATAAAATACTTTCATACATTCGAAAATATTTCCTTAATTAGTTTCCTTTGTTATCTTTAAAACAATTGTGACATAAAATGTTTTAAGTATGAAGATTGACCCCTTGCAACCTTTGTCTACTATTTTGTAAATGTTTTTAATACATTTTCTATCCCATGAAATTACATAATTAAATTTCTATTGATCTTGAGTGCAATGTGAGAATCAATTTACAGAAAAGCCGCAATCGTAGAAATTTATTAGATTTGCAAACCAGCAACACAAAGTTAATATTTAATTTTACCAACTACTAAGCATTATAATCGGATAAAACTATTCCAAAATGTATGCAACAAAGTATCGCATTTCGCGGTAGAGCACTCGCTTTTATGCGGCTTCTATCCACATCAATTTATTAATGGCAGTTTTTGTCGGTATTTCAGTCAATTTACCTCGGGTGCTATTGGAGCTTATAGTTGGTGGCGCGGATAAGCCAAAATCGCTCACTCACATGCCGATGGATATTTATGGCGTTTGTGGCTGGGAAGCGGAAAGGCTTCAAAATACGTGCATGATTAAAATCCTCGCAAGAGCACTCGGATATGCGGATTTGGCCAGCGGACATGGCTCAATCAAACCAGTCAAATAGCTGGGGGCATACGAAATTGGCTTTGTAGCTGTTTTGAATTTGTTTATCCAACATTTATTCGGCCACATCTGCGGGCAGCGGAGATTGCAGTTGGGGGTCATCCATCGATTTTCCCACCGAATCTCTGGCTATTTTAATGCTCTTTTTTGCCATTGCCAGGTATTTTAACATATTGTGTGCTGTTTGCCTATCTGCAAAAATATTTATGCTGCATTTGCTTTTGATTCGTTTTTGTCGCTATTTGCATGGGATAAAACAGGAAGTAGGTATGTGAAAATCATTAAAGGATATTCCGCTTAATCTCTTGGGAATAAAACATTGTTGTCTTATCTTAAGGCACTTCAAATAAAATTATTGGTGACAGTTCAAAATCGAAATATGACAATTATTAAACATAATTGCTCAGCCTCTGAAGTGCGTCATTTAAAATGTATGACTAGCTTCATTTGTTATATAAA